GGGGGGGGGGGGGAGAGAGCGAGCGAGGGAGAGATTGGAGAACAGAACGGCGCGGAGAAAGAGGAGAAATGAAAAGAGGCATGAATAGAAACGGTAGGAAGAAAGAAGCGCGCGCAATCTTTTTAATTATGAAAACACTGCTTTGTGTTTCATTTTGTTTTGTTGTCAGGGGGCGCTATTCTAATCGGGTGCTCTCAAACCACCCCGTGTCCCTCTTCCACCCTCGGACCGGTACATCCACCCTCTCGCCGCTACCGTCGTCGCCGCCGCTGCCGCCGCCACCACCACCGCCGCCGCCACCACCGCCGCCACCGCCACCCCGGCGTGCACCATCTTCTTTTTTTATATTATAACGTGCGGCTCTCTCGGGCGGCTCTGATGGGTCAGGGGCGGAGGCAGGGCTGCCGGCAGGGTACACGGCTAGAGAGGGTGCCAGGGTGAGATTGCTTTAGTAATGAATTACATAGCTCGGGGCTATGTGTCTCTGTCTGAGGAACACCACCAACGTGAGCGCTTCTTTCCCTCCGCGAACGCACGATTTTTTCTTCTTCTCTCTCTCTCTCTCTCTGCTTTTTTTCTTTTTTCTCTCTCTCTCTCTCTCTCTCTCTCTCCCTGTGCATGTTTTTGTCTTTTTTCTCTTCCTCTCGTTCTCCTTATGTTCACGCGCGCCGTTCGACGGACGAATCATTCTTGTCGATGGTCACCACGCGCGTTCGTTACGTCGCGAATATTGCACGTCGAGCTCCTCGTCGAGACATCATCGAGCATCTGTCCGGTCCGTCTGTCCCTCTCCTCTTGGTCCTCCTGCTCCTCCTCTTCTTCGCCGTTTTTGTTTCACCTTTTAGCACGGTCTTCGATGAGGAACCGCGTCAAGTCAAATTGTTGATGCCGTCGCGGTGTGTCGCGTGGTGAGCGGAAATGGGAGAGATTTCTCTCGTATCCTTTCCAATTTCTCCCACGTAGTTTTCCAACGACGAGTCATTTCGGTCGATGAGTCTGTCGAGTGCAAGATTTTTCTTATTAAAATGTTTAGCTCATCTTCAGCAGGCGACGCAAAATTGCGCGAGTATCGCTCGCGATGAATTTTGACCTACTTCCGTCTGCGCGTCCGTTTTATATAAATATTCGAGAGAAGCGCGTAGAGAGAGATCGGAACGAAGTCCGGCGGCTTGAGAATGCCCCGCCCGAAGTCGGAGTTGGCGAAGTTTCTTCGTTATCGCATTGATATAACGCGGATGTAAAAACTTTCCGCGTCGAGACAATGCATCGCGTCGCATTGACGTCTCCCGATCGCGATCGCGATTACTCGCAATCGCAATTCAGTCGTCGCTCTCTACCCCGAGTATGCTCCTACCCCCCTTTCCATCCCCCCCTCAACCTCGTTGCAGCGGGAAGATTTATTTATTCGGGCGAAACATCGTCGAGATAAAATCTGAAAAGCCGTCGCGCATAAAATATTAATTTCTCGTTTGATCGATCACGCCGACGCGACGTTTGAGTTTTTCAACTTATTTCTTACATTGCTTCCCGCATCGTGATGAATTTTCCGAATGAACGAAATATCAACAGACTATCGCAATGTCTGAGCAATTTATATTTTCATATATAATACTATTTTATATTTTATTTATTATTTATATATTGTTTTGCATAGTATATAAATTGTATTAACTGTATTATTTATGTATTATTTTATTTTTTACACGATTTTGCATAAAATTGTGTAAACAATTGGCAGATATGAGCTTCTATCGATGAGAAATTTATCGCGATGTAAAAAGGGACGTAAAAAATAAGTTGGTAAACTCAAACGTCACATCGGGAAATTAATAACAATTTTATATAATACAAACTTGTACGTTATTAAAATATTTTTTTCGCAACAACTGCAATTTAGCTCTTACTGTTCTCTTAGAATTTTGTATTATGAGAAATTAATATTTTATCTCTGCGACGAGATTTTTCAGGTTTTATCTTGTCGAACGAGAAACTTACATTTTTTCCGAATTATCAGATATCTCGTACGTGTCTCGGAGACGTATACTGAGAAAAAAATATTTTAAAACACATTTGATGAATATAAAGTTTATTTTTGTGAAATAAGGTATACTTCTATGAGAGATAAAGTTTATTTCTATGAAATAAACTTTTATCCCATAAATGAGTTTTCGAGTATCTTGCCTCAGTGTGTAAATATTGATGTCAATTGTCATCTTGTATTAATTGTGCAATGCGTGTTAGTCCGTCAATTAATTAAACATATGGACACTACATAGGTAGCTAATCAACGTTCTATCTTTTTTTCGGCATTAAGTTCGCTGGTAGAACGGCGGCCGTAAAATGGAAGGAGGTTGGTCGCGAAAAGCAAGAAAAGCAGGCAACGAACAAACTCGCAAAATTCCTTTTCATTTGCATTATTACGGTAATGAGACTGAAAAGCCGGAAAATGTCGGGCTTTTGTCACAGAGGGATTGTCCGCCTGGTCCATTCATTGATTACGTCGGTAGACGGGGTATACGCGGCACATAATATCTCAGCCAATCCACCCTAAAGATAATGAGTGGTAGGCTTTGCCTTTCTATTTGTTGCTCTAAATATCTCGATATATAACCGGACGTCGACAAATTGCGTCCGTCTATCTAATAGGACGCAATTACGCGATATTAAGCGCGACATTCCGCGACTCGCAGAATTTGTTACGATCAATCATCGCGGTCTCTCATCGATTAAGCGACGATTGAAACGAATAGACGAAATAATTATAAGTGGATGGATAATTAAAGTGAACTCTGGCGAGAAAGCGAATAATTCACCAAATTGTTTTTTCCGTGCGAAATTTCTGACGGAGGGATTTAGAAGGATGGAGAATGCGTATAGAGAACAAAAGGAAAAAAATATAAAGGGAGGAGACATCCGAGAGAACGCGAGAATTTAACGGCACACATTTGTCGCTTATTATGGAAATGACAAATATTCGGACAGACGGCTCGCTCTTTAAACGCGCGTTACTTAATTTGCGAGGCATATGAGAGATGTTAGCGGGATCTCAGCCCGAGCACGCCTAGATGTATCTCGTTAATGTAATTCCGACGAATATACGCGCGGGCGTGTGTTGTACGTTGCGTGTGTATCTTTCGCGCAGCACGCCCGGCGTGCTGAAGGTACGCCGACAAAAATCTACAAAGAGAAAATTTACCGATGACGGCGGAGGGTAAAGCGATGCGAACGCGCCACGTGAAAAGGAAGGGTTGCCCGTAGAAAGCAGAGATCTAGGATCGTGAAAAAGAGTGGAATTCCACAAAATCATTTTTACTCGCGGCACAAAGAGAGAAAGAGGGAAATATTATTTGTTGTATCTCTCTGAATAAAATTCCGCAAGACCCAATGGAATTTATACGTTGAGATAATTAAGCAGTAATGCTATACATTTATCTAAGATCTACCAACTTGAACATTTTAAGGTTCAATATCCAAGATTGTTAAATTATTTTTATTATCAAAGGATAACTTTAAACGCCACCGATATGTTAAACAAATAAAATCTTCAGACATACTATTTATGATAAGCATAAAAATGAAACAATTAGATTTTTAAAGAAGAATGTTGAATTAAAATTAAGTGGTAATATATACATTACAGTCTCTCTAAGATCTGCGAATTTGAACATTTTAAAGCTCGAATATTCAAAATTGTTAAATTATTTTTGTTATTATTTTACTCAGAGAATAAGCTTTAAGTGTTAAGCGCCATCAACATATGAAATCTTTGGATACCCTTTTTATAACAAGCACAAAAATGATTAGAACTTTGAAAAAAATGAACTAAAATTGAATAATAATGTATACATTACAGTTTTTCTAAGATTTAAACATTTCAGAGTTCAAAGATCGATGACTATAAAATCCTTCTGATTATTTTTATTACAGAAAAATTTGTGTGCGATCGATACATTAAACATATAAAATCTTCACATATACGCTTTTTATGGCAAGCATGGAAATAATAAGAGAAGCACTTTGGATCTTAACAGATCTCTAAGCAGATCTCTAAAAAGAACTCGACAACGCTCATGAAGTAAACAATGAAAGGGACATATACCGAGGCTTTTCGCGCTCCCTAAAATTCGACGAGCAGAAGGCAACGGAGAAGACAAGAGAGAGAGAGGCGAAACAGACTAATCCTTGCGGTCAGAAGCCGCTCGAACGTCATGAGGGTAGTGCACACAGTCCGCGTGCGCATAACAATAGTTTAATATTCATATTGTCACGTCCGAGTCAAAAGAGCGACCGTGGGCACCGCGCTCCTAATTCATCGGACAAAAATACGTTCCCTTTCAGGGGCGCGTCCGCTGATGAATTCACTCGGAGTCGTTGACGCGAGAACATCGCTGCACCACTCACGACCCGGATTCGTAATTAAACTTAGCCCTCCTCGCAGTACGTCTCTGTGTTCCTCTGTCGATTCAAAGCTGATTCGTCCGTGATAAACATATCGAGGCATCGACTCGCTTTGCGGCAGAGGGACAAGCGATTGGAGTCTTCAAGTGGTCCCGGTGAAAATTAAATCTTGGATCTTGGGAAAGAAGCGCAAAACTGCTGCTTCTTTTCGCGACTGGATTGCAAGCGGACGTTATCTCGGCGAAATCTTAATTTGCAATTTACGACGAATTGTTTAAAAAACACTTGCAGGCCTATAATTGCGTATTCAAAAAATAAATGAAACTAAAATTCGAAAATATTAAAAAAAATTTTCGCATAGAGCGCTTTTCTAAGCCTCAACAGCAGTAACTATTTGCAACATAAAAAATAATTGTATGTACAATGTTGTCCCTTGATCTTTAACGTTTGGAACTTGATCTTTGAAAATTCGGAATTTGATCTTTCAAGTTCGAAATTATTCCCGTTTTATTCTTTCTTCTCATTTCGTTATATTCGAAATTTCGCAAAAGTTATCAAGTTATAAATCGAGTAAGATACATGGAGTAAATATTGTAGTATAAATTGCAAATTTTTGTGATCTTAGACTATATAGAATTACAATGCGTCACAATGCGAATTTGTAACAAAATTACTATACATTTATTTAAAAATATTATATTACTTTTGTTTTTTTCCTACAAAATTTTTGTAATTGTATACTTAACTGTTTTTTTATACCGTATATCAAGTAGATTATCAAACTTTTTTACTTTTTCAATAGTAAGTTAGATATTGAGAAAAGAATACTTGAAAATTTATTTCTAGAATATGAAGGATCAAAATTTATAATAAACTGTAAATAAACTACATCTCACAAATAAATTTTCAGATATTTTTTTTCTACAATTTTAGTATAATCCAAAGCTTTACGAAAAACATTGTAAAAATAAATATAATTTTTCACGTAATTGCAATATATAATTATATATACTATAATTATATACGTATATGTATATATATATTCTATAATTTTATATATTATAATATATAATAACGTAATTGCAACATTTACGTCGTGTGACGTAAATAATAAATAACAGAAACATCACGCTCATTCTATAAAAATAAAATTGCAATCTTATTGCAACATAAGATAAGAACTTTCTTCACGAAATATCTCTTCGCGAATAAACAAAAATTCATTTCACGACACTATGCAAATTTATCAAAAAACAATACGATATGTATATTTCTCTATACATTTTTCCGGGTGTCTCTCTGTTCTGCCTGTCAGTGCTCTTGCTGTATCGTGATCTCGCCGGAGAGCCTAAGGGATGTTAATTCGCGAAAGCGGAAACGGGATATCAAAGAAGAGATTCCTATTAATAACTTGTCAAGTTCTTCTCGATAAAACTTCGACGAAGAAAAAGGTGACACGTCGTCGATACCCGGCGAACCACGAGAGTTGAGAGCGGCGTTGCGACGCAAAGAGACGACGCTTTAACTTGGCTATTTAAAAGGGAGAGCCTCCACATGACGCGGCAAGAAGATCCTGATGAAGTCGAATTTACGTTCAATCATCGTCTCGTTATTTTATTACAAGGCCTCATGCTTTGCATAAAAAATAATTTATTACATCATTGTAGTACGACATGAAAGCGTCAAATGACGTTTAATTCTCAATTCTTTGTTCGGTTTAATAGTCTTGCTTTAAAATTCCAAGTAACTTATGAATAATTGAGTTTAAACTATGTATAGATCGTACAAATTGATTAACAATTAAGTTCATTCGAATCAATCTTGTGTTTGATGGACCTAAAATTTCCCGATTTATCCTGTTTATTCTTCACGGAATGCGTCTCACGGCCCATTCGTTATTTATTGCACTCTTGCCTCTCACCCCTTGCTTCCCTCCGGCACCGCTCACCCCTCCAGGGATGAAATCGCAACGAGAGGCGGCCCTTCTAAGGACACCCACGATTGGACGCCGAAGGGATGTGCCGGCCTCTCGGTAATAATCCTCGCGGTGTCCTTGGCCGCTCCATCGTTGGCATTTAATGAGGGATGGAATAAGCGAGGCGGGAAGAGGCGCGGGGGTTGGTTTAGGCGTACGTCGCGGAGATATTTTATTTGTCTAATTGCGAGACGCAATAGCGGGTCGTGATAAGGCAGCATGTGAAAGATGCAGATACGCACAATCTCAAGAAAAAAAAAATCATCGAGATGTCACAGCTATGCGCGATTATCATGAAATTCAATCAGACATATTTATAATTAATAAAGCCACAATACACTCGATATCGAGTGTACAGTATCGATAACTGAAAGATATCCGCTCGTAACGGAGCAACACCTGTGTCCGCGCTCTCTGCGTCGGTCTCGACACGAATCTTCGCGTCGTCATTTCGTTACCTTCGAAATATTAATCTCGGGCGCTTCTGGCGAACACACGTGCGCACCAGCAATCTGTGCGACGACGACGACGACGACGACGACGACTGCGAGGAGGTGGAGGAGGAGGAGGAGGCACGAAACGAACATTGTGCGCACGCCATAACAGCGTAGCAATAACAGCGTTCCATTATATGTAGCTACACCGCGGGCGGCGAGATTGCAAAACATGCCTAGATTAATGTTTTCTCATCCCGCGGCTTTGTTGTGCAACGCGGGGGCGAGAGAGCGGGCGGGGGAAGAGGGGCGAGAGTGCGGGTGGCGAGGGTGGACGGAGAAGGGTGGCGGCGCACCCTCCCGCCGCGGAACGGAGCCGCGCTCTCCTGTTCCTTCCCCGCCGCGCTCTGCCTCTCACCCACCCTCTACGTCTATATACAATCGCGTCATGCGACAATGAACAGTACGAATTACGTTGCATTCTCTTTTGCGGCTCTCTTCGATCGGCCCTCCGCGCGCGCACGGGCTTTCGCCGCGCGTCATTGTTCGCGTCGCCAGAAAGGAGGCACTGGCGTGAGATTGCGAGGACCCGAAAAAAACAGAGAAAAAAAGAAATAGGTAAATTAGAAGGTACTGACGAAGAAGGAATTATACGCGCGACGAGGTATATCGTGTGCTGCGTGAAAAGAGAAATACGGGACGGGACATACCGAGAGCATTATGCATCCTTTTCGCTAGAGAGACTTCTTCGGCCGTTATCGTACCCGTTGTGGGAAAGGAAGTACAAGGAGCGGTAAAAGATCTAAAAAAAAATAACACTGTATGCTGGATTTCATCCAAATTAATTGCAAAGATAATATGCACAGCCTCCAAAGATAATGTCATTAATTGTCATGTGCGTTAATTTTTGATTCATCGAGTTTACTCAAAGCGTAATTTACATCTCAATGATCTCGCAATTTTTCAATGTGTATACGATCGCAAATGTGAAAAAGTTCCAATTAAAAGAGTTGACAAAAATATCAAGTTAAGAAATTAAGTAATTGCTATTTGACAAAGACATAAAAACGGACAGTTAAGGAAAAGCAGGATCGAAAATAGTGATCGATAGAAAATAGCAGTTAAATTTTATTAGATGTCCCATATCAAATTTTATATTCATTTGTATGAATATTTTCTATATTTATATTCATTGTATGTGTATATGTGTGTGTATGTATGTATGTATTATATATAAATTTCAAGATCTTTAAACTTATTCAAGCGAGGAAATGTTTCAGGATATTTCAGCAGCTATAGTAAAAATTTTTTAATGATATTTTCGATAAACCAGTCGTTCGTAAAGTGCATGTGGTCAGCAGGTATTGAAAGATAATGAATTTTGCCGGACATATCCATTGCATGCAATCCAAGTCGATCCTGCAAGTAACACAACAACATGTATATTAAGCTTACACAAACAGTGTTATTACAAATTTCTAAATTTGTTCAATTACTTGTTGGTACAATTCGCTTTGCTGCAGACTCTGTATCTCCTCTGCTTGGCCAGGTTTATAGAATCCGAACCATTCACTTTCCACTGGCTCCACCATTGTATCGTTTGCAAATTTCACGAGAACCAAATTTTGGAGTTTCTGAAGGTTATTCTTGTATTCCTATCGATAATCGATATAAGTAAAAAATTAGTTAGCATTTTAATAATTTAATAATTTTTATAAATTGCTTCTGTGTATTCCTAACAGGCAAAATATGATATATATCACAATTCTTTTGTATATTATCGTATTTTAACTGTACAGATTTTTCATTCATATAATTATACATACCTCATTAATACTATTTTGATTATTAATATCAGCAAGAAAGATATTCTTTTTTTTATATTCATCAATATTCAGAGGATCATGCCAATAAGTAGCTTGTATGAACGACTCTTGAATATACCTGAAATATTAAATTAAACATATGATGTCTCACAATATAAAATAGAGGTTTTGTGAAGAGAAATTGATGACTATATAATATATACCATAAGTATGCGCCGTGATAAAGAACGCGTCGCATATATCTGCACAATCGAGATGTAAGTGAACATTTTGGTAAACCAAAAATACCTTGGTGTTGACCGCCCATAGATATCAAATTTTGCATTGGTGGATTAGGACATCTTTGAGCTACTGCTCTCCTAAAATAGAAAAAAACGGAATTGTAATATATAAAGTTAGTTAAAATTATAAATTACAGTAAAACTGACTTACAGAAATTGAGCTCCTTGAGAGAAGCCAATAGCATTGTATCCCTGTTGCAACCTTGAGTCTTGCTGCAGTTGTTCACACACATGTTTTATTTGCTCATTGATATTACCGAAGTAACTGTTCTCTACATCCTACAAGAAAAAATATTTCTGCATTAAAAAGAGCACAAGTTAAAATAATGAAATAAAAAATATTATTCTGTGCATAATTTTAAAGTAAAAGTGAAATAAATAAAATTATAAACATATTCTATGTAAACATATGTAAACACACACACACACACATATATATATATATATGTATATATATATATATATATATATATATATATATATATATATATTTCCTGAAGTAAAATAAACCTAAGAAAGTAAAAATTAATGAATTAAATATTGATAAAAAGATATACAGACAAGATAACAAGATCAAAAAAATTTTACATATTATTAAAATATCTTTCTAAATTTATTTTCATAAGTTATTTTACAATAAAATCTTACCTGTATAACATCATCTCCAATACGTATAGAATGCACATAGACATTTGGTATTTGCTCTTGAAGAATTTGCTGTATTCTTCCAAGACTAAAAGAAAAGCAGCAGCTATCACCTATAAGAAAATATGCTTTCGTTACTATAATAAAGTGATATACTATAATAAAGTGATATAAAGTGGTTATATTGTGACATATTGTGTTTAACAAACTAAATTTAACAGAAGACTACAAAGTATATGTTGATTATTATATAATTTTTAAAAATAATATATCATGCTATAAGAAAAATTTTTCAATTCTATATTCAAAAAAGTTTAGTAATGTAGTATCTGTGAAATAAATTCAATATCTTAAGTTACCTCTAAGATGATAAATAATAAATAAAAGTTTCTGCAAATATCAAATTTAAGATACTTAATACAAATATCTCACAAGTTAATAATTTTTTATTATTGTTCTGCAATCATTGTAAAAAACATTCCATTCACAAATTATTTCATTGCATTCAATTTATTTCATTTGTAAGCAATAATAGGTTTGCCACAGTGCTTGTATATAAAGCAGAAGCTGATAAGCATGTATAAAGTTCTCTTTGATGAACTGAATTATCTGAAAGTAGATATAGGCATTCCTTATAGCAAGATTAAATGTTATTAATATATTTAACAATAATGTAACAAAGGGAGAGAGAAATAATAAAAGAAACTGATATATAACTTGTTAAATCCAAATTTTAAAATTATTTATATATTAGTATAAATGATGCAATCAATGTAACTTATAGTTATTCTGACATTGTCTCATATTTAATTCGATCATATTAAGAGAGAATATAGAACGGAAAAAAGAAAAATATCATATGAGAAAGTATGGAAAGTGAGTTAAGGGAAAGCGAATCTAATGCAGTCAAAGTAATTATACTACAATAAAACTCACCCATTCCATGCCATAGCACTATCGGCACCGGAACGGAAGTAGCATTTTTTTTCTCATGTAAACAATAGCCGGCATTTGCGAAGAAAAACAACGTGATAAGAAAACAAGCAGGATTTATCATCCACTTTTCCACATAATACATGTTGATTGTTCAACCTTGATAATGTTCTTGCAATTAACACACACACGTGTGATCGACAAACGTCGCAATATCTTTAAATACTGTTAATCATCACGGAACACAACAGTGTTATAAGCAGTGACACATTCGATTGACTGCTCACATTTGCATATATATATGTTTCAGCGATAGCAACGCGCGTGGCCATGATGGAAAATACTTCAAACAACTGCACTTTATCGGTAATGCAGGTTTCATTTTATATTATTTTTTTTTTTTGCAAAATACTATGTCTGTACTTATTTAATAAGATGTTTAATCTACTTTTGCGTCTAAACTTGATGAACTTGTAACTTAATGAACGTTATCAACGTAAATTAATAAAAGTAAAAAATGTCTCAGTATTTTAAGGGAGCAATTTTTGGCTTTAAATTACATACATAATATTAAAACAAGTATTTTTAATATCTTGAGAAAATTGAATTAGTCTTTAATAAGGAATTAATGTCTCATATCTCAATATACCAGAGAGACCAATAATGAATATGAAATCGCTTCCTCTATGATTTCAACAAAGCCTGAAAGTTTTCTAACGCAATAAAAAATAATGTATATAATACGCGATTTCATGTTGTCAATCATTATGCAACAGTAATTGCCATTTCTACTACGCGTATGCAGAAAAATTTCATTGGTTTTGTAATTGCGTAAAGTATACAAAGCTGAGCGCGGCTCAGTCACGCATGCGATCAGCATGTTACGTACCTCGTCTCGCTTCTTTGCCAATCCTCGTATTCTTATATATGATTCTGAATCGCGTGGCTCATTACGGGCTACCGATGTGAAAGTGCATCGCATCGCCGCTGTTATTTCCGCGCATTAGCGAATGCCATTCGGTTCCTCGCGGTTGGCAGACAGCGGCGGGCTTGGAAGGAGCGGTCGCGTCGGATCCGTTGGAGCTCCGGGAGGGTTGCGTCGTTCGTTTAACGGGCTGGGGTAATGGGGGATGCGAGGGAGACAGGGTAGGAGGACCGGAGGCGAACCAGTGGCCGTTTTGTTTAGCGAATCGCCGCGATATCCGGAACACAATGCGCGATATCCAAGCCGCTTGTTCCGGGATACATTGTTTCCGTTCTTCGGAGTTCTGGCCGCGTATGGAAATGCAGTAATCACTTAAAGCAGATCTGTGCCGACGACCATCATCGGCACAGCGAACGGGAAAGGACCCAGGTATTGTGTGCAATCTCATCGGGAGTCGTGCGGGCACAGCACGTGCACGCAGCTCTCTCCTTCATACGCTTGGTTGTTCTCTTCTTGAAAATTCTCGATGAAACTGTTATTGTTTCATTTTGTTTTCGAAAAGTTTAATTTCCGAGATCATTAATTGAAATTGGACAATCTCTTTTAAAAACAGATAGATGCGATAAAGAGTATCAGTCGAAGAGTAGGATCAATTGCCCAAATTACCTGAAAAAAACACAATTTTTAAGATTAGTTGGAATTTAATAATATCAATAAAAAACGCAGTTATGTAGAAATTAAAATTTAATAATTCTGTATGAAGATAATTAAATTTGGGAATTATATCAGTTAAGACTTAATGATTTATATTTATATTGCTAATTGAGTTTTCGCAATTTTAATCCGAAATATGTAATCTCAAATTTCGCATTAGACACGCGACAACAGAGTGGAAACATGTGAAGGAAGGCTAAGAACAAAAGGCGACTTCCGCAAGAGCCGAAAATAGGCGCATCCGATATCCAACAGATGCTGCAGTGGGTGGAAAGAGAATAAGAGAAATATTGGGAGTGAGTTTGAGGATGAAAAGGGGGAGGAAAAGAGACAGAGAGAGAAGGAGAAGGAGATCGATCGAGGAAATGATGGAGAGGGAGATCGACATATTAAATAGGTGGGCAACGACTGCGAGTGCCGGCCAGCCCAATGAGCGGTAAATTAAGCGGAAATCTTCTTGGTAAGATTCGGCACGGGGCCGCGGTTGAATCCTTGGGAGGAGTCCCTCGCGCAGGAAATTTAACTTCCGCTCTTCGCATCGCGCGATCGCTCGGGGATTTGCGAAGGCAATTTATCGTCTATTCTTTTTTAATTGAAATAGTCTCGCAAAACCCGTTATCCTTTATATTTCTTTCCGCATTAAATGCAATCGTAAAGTATCGTCGAGACGTTGAGTCCAGCTTATGTAAAGTCGTCTTCGATTTTTTACAATAAAATGAAAATCAGCTGTTCAAACATACATATCTACATTGCACCGTTCCCGTTGTGAACGAGCGTATCGCGATTCTTGATCCCTCGCAAAAAGCGACGAACGTTCTCATCAACACGTAAAAGAAAATCACGCGGTTCCCGGAGGAAGAAAGGACTTCCTGTTAAAAAGATTAAGAGAGATCCAACGGCGAGCCGAAGATCGGCCGGATATCGCGAAGCGGGAGAGCTCACCCCTTCATGTCCGCGACCGCGTCAGTGGCGGTACGCTGCGACGCGCGTTGCCACCCCTTTACCCTCCAAGCCTCCAGCGCTCAATCTCTCTTCATCTCTCTCTTTCTCTCCCCGCGTCGTCACCCCGCTCTCTACCTCCATCCGCAGCGTAATGAATCCAGTTTGTCGAACTCCACCGCCTTCTACGGCGCGCCGCGCCGGGGAGATTTTCCCCCGACCTAACTACCCATCCATCCATCCATCCATCCATCCATCCATCCATCCATCCATCCATCCATCCATCCGTTCCAACCATTCCATCCGTCTGTCCGTTCGCTGGTATAAACTGCAACACGCGAACCACTGTGCTTTTCGGTGCCACCCCCGCAACGGCGGCCAACCCGCGCGCAGTCATTTCGCATCTCTCCGCCGGGGCATCCGCCTTCCTCACCCCGCGCGCCGCGCGTACCCGATGCCCGTAATTACATCGAGTTCCCTTGACGATGGGGGGAAACGGGAAGGAGGGTAGGGTAGAGGTTCTAATTAATCAGCTAGCCGCACCGCGCGCGAATCGTTCTCGACACACGCGCTGCGGCACGCCTATAGGTTGACCGTCGACCAAAGCACCGAGCTCCTCTTCGCGGGGCCTCCCTTCCCCCTCACTCCTTCACGTACATCCTTCCGCCACCCTCCCCCAGGCTGGTGTTGTTAACCCGTTAGTTAGTCGCGTTCAATTCGTGTAGCGTAATTAGTCGCGCGGGGTCATTATGCGTGACCTCGTTACATTACGCTATTACGTAACGCTATTACGTTACGCTATTACGTAATTTGCCGCTGAATTAAAAACTAATAATCTTACCTAATTGGTTTTTAATTTCATCTTCAATAAGAAATGAAGATAATATATATATATATATATTTTTTTTTTCTTCTGCTGATTTATTGTACTGAGAGAAGAGCATTAAGCAGTCATAATTTTGTCTTTCACTTTGTCCACAGCATTTTTTTGGCATTGTTTCCGGTAAAGATAGTGTTTTGGTATACCTATGACAATGTGCAACTAATTAATCTTTAAATCAGAACATATATTGAGTAGAAAAATATGTAAAAAATAAAAAATATTCGGTGAGTACTAAATAACAGTATTTATTTATACCGATATACAAAACTTATTTATTTATTTATTTATCGGTTATTTATATCGATATACAAAATATTTTCCAAGTGAAAACATTCATCTTTTTGAAACCTCAGTTTTTCATGAAAACAATTATTTATTTTACTTAAATAAAACGAATTAAATTTAAGCAAATATGCGCTATTTAGTACTCATCAAATAATTATTTCTTATGTTTTTAATATTTCTTCTCTCAATGTATATGAGCGATATTTGTAAAGACAGATAAGCGCTAAAGGCAAGGAAAGTTAAATACATGCAATAACGATCTTACAACGAACGACATAAATTTACATACCTGCGAATGGTCCTTCCTTTTCCAATCGCGAGTACTTTTTGCTCAATACTTTTTGATCAGTAATAACATCTCCGGCTGGAGCGTTCTCGCGAATATCGTTTACCAGACCGGGCCGAATTCAAACCGGAACGCGCAACGAAGGGTTAATCGGTTCATCGCTCGCCGCAGAACGGGGAAAATCGACGTTCTTTGTTCCCGGGTCTTTCAACAGCGGATCTTCATCGCCCCTCTTTAGGAGAGCGAGAGAGGGGGAGGACTTCGGGAAACATTGGTTTCGGGCAATAATTACTCGCCGGAAACCACTAACCCGAGAATACAGGACCGGAGGCTTCGTCACGGCCACAGCTGCGGTGACGTCGCGCTAATGAATCTATTTTGCCGATTCTCCATATCGGCTCTTTCTCCCGCCATTTCACCCCGTTCCTACCTCTCTCTTTCCTTGTCTCTGCCGTTATCATTCCGGTATCCCGATCGGACAAAAAGTAACAACGTTTTTTATCGATATCGATGCGAAGGAATATCCTATTGTATAATGAGATTTTCTGTAATTGATTTATAGTCAATAATATGAAAATTACCGCAAAAATTATGCTATTTTTTAATATAAAAATCAGACCTTATGTAGTGTTGTTACGACGTGTTGGCCATTTTTAATTACTGGTGCGACATCTATCGGCGAGACATCATGACTTTTACTTTACTTACTGATCGAGTAGAATTACTAATTAGTCGATCCGACGACCTTTTCGACTATTTTATCAACCGAGAAAATGGACGGTAAAGTTACCCCTAATTTATCGAATAAAAGTGGCGGGTATTGCGCCAACATTCTTGATAACTGTCATAATCATTTTACATCAAATTTTTCGATTTGACATGGATAGTGATTATTATTCCACCATATATGCATGGTAAACACACAAACAATGTATATGTAGTGAGATATGTAATTACAATATAAAATAGGAAATATACAAGGTTATATCTGTTTACAATTTTTGTTTGCAGTAATTAAATTTCATGATATTCAAAGTTAAAAGTATTCTCTCTGTGATGCAAATTGTACATATATTTTATATTTTTAACTTATATGGAAGATATTTTATTTCTATTTGTAATATCAGTAATGTATGTCTTATGTCTGTTATGTGTCTCATTAGGTTTGAGAGATGTGGGATCATATCGAACATTAGAACACACCTACGCCAGAACTTGGTGAACGCTTTGAAGGGTAAGGATTTAGGGCTTTGTCAAAGTAGAGAAGCAAGATCGGCAAAACAGTATGTTCACGATATGTTAATAGCTGAATATCTATTTAGTCACAAGTACTCCTTTACCTTGTCGATATTTGCTAGCGAGGTTCCGCTTTTAGTAAACTTTTGCAATAGTGTGCCACAGCACTCTGACCACAATGACAGAGATGGTGGCAGCAGGTTTAAGTTACAGAATGATTACATAGAACATACCTTGGAAACACTGGGCATTGATCCAAAAAGGCCTGAAGGCCAACATATCATATCGAGTTACTTGAATAGTGAAGCATCTCTGTTGTTATCCATACTAAACTATATAAATTCCCTTGCTGTTAGCACTCAGTCTTCAGTCAAAAAAAGTCCTCTGTATGACAAAGAAACACAAGTTAATTTAGCTCTGGAAGCAAATGTTATGGATATAACAAAAATATATGCAATGAGAAGAAAAATTGTGCAACAGAAACAATTGTATGATGATGAATTAAAGACAAAAGAGAGAAAATTAAAACAGCAAGCCTCTGTTATAAAATATCAGCTCAATTCTCTGAATGCAAAATTGGAAGAAGCTCAGGTAATATATTCAACTATACTATTTTTAGATATTTCTTTAATTATATATATAATATATAATTGTATACACACATTTAACATAATATAATGTTATAATCAATGAAAATATTCTGATGATAATATATATATATATATATTTGTGGATATGTATTAATATCAATTTTATGTAATTTATGGATTTAGGATTTAATGCAGTCTTTGACACTGAAAGAGAAACAGTTCAATGAGAAGAAAGATAGCGAGGTACGAAACATTTTACAAAAAGAAATGGAATTGTCTATGAAACAAAATTTCTTAACACAGGAAGCTGACAGGTATTTGTTCTTATTTAAAAAGATTAATTTTCATAATTGATAAAGATACAGTTACTAAATACTGACTAATAATTAATACTTTTATAATTGTGATTGTAAAAATGACTAATATCATTTTTCTAGGTTACAGAAAGAACGAGATAGTTATAGGAAATTCGAGAATGATTTGAAGAAACTCCAACAGGAGCTTGTAAAGATGCAGAAGGAAATGTCGCAAGGCGCGCAAAATCAGAATGGCCAAGTCACGAATGTCAGAAACATTCACGTGCAAACCGACTTGGAGAGCTGCGTGTTGATGGACGAATGCAAGGCACTGCAGAGAGAGAAACTGGAGCTATCGAATCTCGTGCAAGAGCAACGATCCAGAATAGAGCAGATCACTCTGCGTAGCGTACAGCTATCGCGTCAATTGGAGGAAGTGCGTTCGTTGCGAACGGTCGTCGGCGAAATACCGGTTCCCGCAGCCGGAGTCGTCAGCACGAACGCGATCAGCGAAAGCAGTTCTACGGAGGATATTCTACAGGATGCTAAGATGAGACTGAAGCGCTTGGAAGAAGAGAGTTCAAAGGCCGATCAGTATTTCTGCAGTTTTGTCAGCACCTCTTCGTAGCGAATAAGATATTATAAAACTTCGTTCGTGAAATTCATTCATCTATTTATTTATTTATTTATTGTCATTGTATTATGTACGATTGATATTGTACAACATACATCATGCACATCACCTATAAGAGTTGCAACTTTTCTTCGTCCTTCTACGTTAATAAGGAAAGAAAAAACAATTGAAACAAACATAAAGAAAGCAATTTTGTTTGTGATCAGACAATTAGATAGTTTATTTTATAAAATTGGATGTTAACTTAATATACAAATTATCCACTATTTCTTCTTGCTTTATTTCGAATTCTACGATCATTACATGCAACACCAATATAGTATAGAAAAAGTTAAGTCGAGGTCTTCTCTGTTGTTGTACATCATCTCCGTTTCGGGTCTGAACTCCTCCTGGTGCACTTGAGTTAAGGATTATATCACATTTACACATACATTTATACAATTATAGATATTCGAACATTTGATCAACGTGAAAATATTATCGTGATATTAACGAATTGAAAAAAAATAGCAAGAATATTTTTACATTTATATGAGCGAATATTTTTACATTTATATTGCGCTCGATATTTAAAAGTATAGAAAAGGATATTGTTTATCACGGCTCTCACGGCCTTCGCGTTCATGAGGACGATCCTTTGCGTATGGAGATTTTTCCTGAAAATAGATTCTTGAATGAATCTTCCGTATGTCACGATTTCTTGCGGCTGACATTGGGTACTTGAGACTGTCACCTATACTTTCTTGTTTTTGCTATTGCCGTCCATTTCGTCCCTTTAACGTACTCGAAGTAGACGTCTTTATCAACTATGAAGTCAAGTAATAGAAAGTTGTTAAGAAAATAATAATCTGGATTCTTCTTTTTATGAAAGAAGCCAGCTAATTAGAAGAATCTACAGAAAAAATTGCGGTTTCTACATAAGAAATATTACAATATATAATGTTGCAATAAATTTTATCAAAATATTCGAAATACAAAATCGGAAATACGCGTATTTTCCAAGATATAAGACTGTGAATACATTAGTTATATACACTTCAGAAAGTTTTCGCGAACTTTAATATATATTAAAGATTACAATCATTATTTCGTCATTAATCTAGTCATACTGCACGTTTCTTCAAGTTTTAAGTTTCTCGTACTCTGCGTGCATGTGTAACCTAAAAAGTTTTGTTACAAATTTGGAAAAGCATTGTACAAAAATAAAAAATTGTAAGAAATAGCTACAATTTATTATTAGCAAATAAGAAAATTTTAAAAATAATAGAACAATAAGACAGGCACTTTTTGTACCCCATAAGTGGAATTATATAGAATATGAAAGAATTAGTGAAATGACAGTAGTTTATATAATAAATTAAAAAAAAAATGTAATATATATATATAGGTGTTTTTGATTACGTTTTTAACGAAAGCTTTAATTGTGTTATCACTGTTATCAATGTTAATAAAATGCTGATTAATAATACCAACCTTACTATAATGATGCTTCTCTCTGTGCTCAGGAATGTCGCCGTTCTGATGTGTCCCTTTAGCTGAGAAATATATTTACTTTTTAATATCTATTATAAATAATTTCTGTACGATTTATATGCAGTTGGTTCGTGCATATGTTAATTTCTTTTTAATATTAATATATAATTACGTACCTCTTTCGTCATCCTTTCTTCGTTTTTGTTCAGTAGTCGCCACAGATTCTTCCGTCCGATCCTGTGTGAGTAAACAAATTATTTAATAATAATACAATTTAATAACTATACGATTTTCTGGATTGCATCATATATCTCTGTATTACATATATAATTACCCTTTTCCGTCCCTGTTTCTTTTCTCTACGCAACTCTTTCTGTTCGTCGCGCGCCTTCCCTTTGCTAGAACGCTCTTTCTTATCAAGAACAGTTTCCACGCGTCTTCCTTCCTGCTGCATACAGAAATATTTATTTACAAAGAAAAATTAAGGGAAGTTAAAATTTATAATGTAAATAATAATATAAATAATATAATCACCTTTGGAGCACTCTCTACTTTTCTTCTTTTTGCATCTGAAATTAAATATAGAAACTTATATATCATTGTTATATTATTTATGTTAACATATAAACGTAACACACACAACCTGAAAAATATCCTCTTAAACAATATTCAACTTTAATTTTATAAAAATATTTCATAAACAGTCCGAATAATAAACAATATCATAGCCATAGTTATAACCAACCTCTCTCAGGGCCTTCTTGTGTTGGTCCTGAACTGGCACTGCTGTTCGACACACTAGAAAGATCTCGATCTAAATTGTCTACACCACTGCTATAGTAGTGCTCTTCCTGAAATTGTAAAATTTATAATATATAAAACTAAAAGAAAACTAAATTGCAAATCTTGATGACATAAAACAACAATATGACTAATAATAACAGTAAGCATAAATTTATAAATATAAATTTAAGTATTAAAGAATATTCATTGATGTTTAAGTAATGCTAAGAATTAATTTTTAACTTTAACATTTTTTATTCTTAATCTAAAAGTTGATTAGAGCATGTGATTTTAAGTTCCGCAACCTTTTTATAATCTATAAAAGTAAATGAAAAACACAGTTTTTCATGTTAATATAATGGTTACCTTATAGTATTTGCGTTCTTTTTTATCTAATCCTTCATCTTCTTTCACTTCTTCTTTTTTTGTATATTTCTCCTTTGCTTCTGAAACGTCCTTATTGTCCTCTTTCTTTCTGAGCTTCTCAGATGTCTCACTGTTCAAAGAACTAACGTTACAATGTATAGAAAATAATTAGATAAAAAAAAATTTCCAATTCAAAATTATTATAATAATTTTAAGTTAATTCCAATTTTAAAAATCTATCCAATTTTAAAATTCTCTTAAAATAAATTCTACATCTCTCTATAAGAGTCCAGGATTAAAATAATTTTAAATATAACTTGTATGCATATATGTACATGTAGATATTATGTACTCACTGATGTGTTGGATTAGATGAATTTCGCTTTTCTCGTTGTTCTTTATTTTCCTTTTCTGGCCGGGTATCTCCGTTATTAATCTCTTTCACCGCGACTCCGTTACTGACCTTTTCGTTTGTATCACTATTTGTAGTGTCTTGTGTCTTCCCAGTCTGCACGAATAAATATAGCAATTTAAACGTTTCTGTTATTTTTTGCAAAATAATGGCATAATTATAACACATGTTAGAGAAAGATTTAAAAAATATAACCTTATTTTTTAAATAATTTAAAAAATATATATTTTTAAAAATTTCTAGTTTTTATAAAAATAACAAATAAGGAATGACTAGAACTAATCAGATTACATATAAAGCGTAAAAAATAATTTTACGTTAATTATAAAAAATTAAAAATAAAATAATTTACAAACAGAATCAATTCTGTATAAATTCGTGAAACACAGCATTTGCGTCTCGTTGCCAATAAATGCTAAATTATATTAAATTTTCACTCTTGATACATATGTTAGAACGGCCAACCTTATCGCCCACATGATGAAAATCTGATTCGCGTATCATACTGGGAGTTTTAGCCTTCAGTTGTCCACTGTATGACGTGGCTAGGACATGCAAATCCTGACGTTGGCCACGCTCTTCCTCTCTCACCTTCTCTACCTTTCGTTCAAGGATCTGAGAAAGTTTTGCCAAAACAGGAAAGTGTGGTAATATCTTAATCAATATTATCAATGAATTCCTGATCTGCACGTAATCCTTGGAGTCGAGACATACTACAATAGCCTATTTAAAATAAAGTATGTTTGATTATAGGAATGTTATTTGTTGTTAGTATCAAAAGTATATTCAAGACAATATGTCATATAAATATTCAAGATTGTGCAAATACCTTTGTGATTTTGTAATGCCACTTGTGACATACATGTCTGTAATTTTCAAACCCAACCATATCATTTGCTTCAGAAAATTGGTTGCTCACGCGGAACTTTGTCACGAATCCTGGATAGTTGCTACATTCCTATAAGCATAATATAAGGTAATATGTTCAAATTAATAGATTATATATTGGAGTCAATGTCCATAACTACGAAAATTAAAAAAATAAATAAATCATTTTACATTTATGGAATTTGTTAATCCGTAATTATTACCTTATCGAATATGGCTTTCTCTGAATGCCACCTCATTACAGTCTCCAACATGGCGCACAAAAATCTGCCATATCGATTTGCTTCGTTCTCTGTGCACGAGGTGACTGAATATGTAATATCACAGAAAAGCTGAAAATATTAGAAAAATAACAATTATAAAGCATAGCAAACTCTATAGAATTGAAGAAGCACGAGTATTATGGAATCGTATAAATCTACCTTTTTACCAGATAAATATCTTAATTATTTATTAATTGCTTTAATATCAATCGATTAATGTTACGTTAATGAATAGTAAAAAGCTATCTTACACGATCGTAGCAAAGCAAAGTTGAAAAGTTCGCAGTCTTCAGGGAGTGGATGGTATGTACAAATTTCGCACAGTACATGGCGTCCACAGTCGTGAACGTACACCGTGGGAATAGGCATAGCTGTAGAAACTGTGTAATCGTTTCGTTCTTCGCAGATTTAGCGCTTCGCGACAAGAACCATGTATCCTTCTCTTGTCTGCGTATCAGTAAGAGAATCGTTAGAACCATTAAAATATTTTGGAATAAATCTTAGAACTTCACACTTCAAGAGCATTCTAAATCGAACAACTTTTTATATATCACGATTTTATCGATTTGTTACTTTACCTCAGATACGCAAAGACTTTCTCGACGTGTTCCTCTTGCTTCCTTTTTTCCTCTTGTAGTTTTTCGATAAGAGTGGTGTATCTCTCTTGCTCTTTCTTTCCTTTACTCACGTTCTAACATTAAAGGAAGAAAAATTTACTTTTAAGTTTTATTGAATTATACATAATTATACTTAATTCTTTAATTTTTCTATTATCTTTACGAGCTCATTATATATAAATATTTTTTTACCCCGCAGTATTGCAATTAATATAATAATAATATAACAATATTAATATATAACAATAAATATGCAAAGTGTTTTTGCTTACCATATCTTTGGAGTCAGCAGTTTGTGTCGCTAATTGCTTTAATTTGCTAATTTCCCTCTGATAACTTTCTGCCGGTACATACAAATCGTACATCGATAGGGACCAAAATGTGACCAAGAATTGCGGCGATATGTCCTCCCACACTTTTAGAGGATGCAATGGTCTAACTGATTGAGCGACAGGTGCCATAACGGCTTGCGCGGCCTCCGCATACTTCAATTGCTTCATTGCCGTAGACATTTTCTTGTAATTTGGATCGGCTTTGCGGAGAGAATCATATTTCGTCTGCAAGAATATAAAATTAATTCTTAAGACGAAAATCACGGAAATTTATTAATAAATTAATTAGAATTATTCTATCGAATATGTTTACGACAAATTGTTAGAGAGAGCAACTTTTAAAATTAAATATCTTTTAAATAATTTTAAAAAGTGATTTACAATCAATCAGCAATTTTGTAAAAGCGTCAGCATTATTCGTATGTAATTTATCGATATCGATAAATTCAGACATGCATGTAGATGTCAACTTACATTTATGGCGTGTGCAAACATCGGTCTCGCTAAGAAAAATGCGACATCCGAATGTATATGATTGTCCTGGAGCATAGAATGGATCGAAGGTAATCGTCTTACATATTCATCTACAGTCATAGTAGATCCCAAAAATGTTCCAAATTGTACCAGTGTATCTTGACATTGATCGTACAATTTGCCTGTGATAACAAGATAAAATCGTCAGCGAATAACATTAAAAAAAAAAAAAAAAAAAAATATCTTGATTCTACTGTTTTCGCATATTTACCAACGAGCTTGAGATGAGACTTGTCGGTTTCTCTATAAACGACGCAGTGCTTCTGTTGAGCCATTAACAGACATAAAGCAACTGCGAGATCATGTTCAGCAAGAGCATCTTTCAAACGCATTGAAGATTTTTTTGTATTGCGAACTTGGCTGAAGTAACCGGCCTTGAAAGAATAATGTTCTCACGTGTTAATTGATCTGTACAAGAATTATGTATTAACATAGTTATACAATGCTATCGATTTACCTCGTTCTTCAATAAATCTCCACCCGCCATTGCATCCAATTGATCGGACGTCATTTCTTCAGCTGCCTCGATTCCAGCCATTTTTTGTACTATTTCTTTTAATATTAATAGATCTAAGCTATAAGCAGAGAAAAAGAAAATAGTATTCTAGAGTATGGTACATAAGTTAACGATTTAGCGAACAAAACGATTATCATAATGTATTTATGACATATACATACATATATATATATATATTATTTTAATAAAATATTTTATAATTAAATGAAGACATACCTCTTTTGAGCTTTAAGTTGATTTGCTACGTACTGTAATAATCCTTTGAGTTCGATGTTATATTTCTTAAATATTGCTCCACAAAAGGAAGCTAAAGATTGCAACCATAAAGATATACTAGTGCCGTCGTGTTTAAATCTATCTCTATCAGCACTTGCTAATGCCTCTACTAGGCAATACCCTAATACGTCGTACGAAATATTTGTCAAATATTTTAAAGAATCCACCACAGGTCCTGTAACATTTTCAATATAATATAGAACATATCATAAATATACTCTGTACGATTAATTATATCTTAAGATATTCTTATTTTATATTTTCGGCAATCTTAAATTATTCTCTATCAGCTATTGCTCGATTTTCACATTCAAACCTTTTGCGTCCAATTTGTCGTTTACTAAATTAAACTCAAAATAAAACAGCCACTTAGACTGAAATAAAGGCAAATTGATCGCTAAAATTTTATTTTGTGAGATAAAGCGAGACAAGATTATTAACGTTAAGTCAGTAGTCGACAGAGAGATCTCCCAAGGAACTTTGACTCAGGATGCGCGTCTGAAACGTACATACCTATGAGATTGTCGTACAATTGGATCTGTACGAGAACATAATCAAATAATACTCCCGGCGAAGAATGAGTGAGTTTTCCGATTGATCGGCCGACGGGCTTAATGGTCTCTTTACTGACTCGCTTCATAATCGACTTGATTTTCTTCTGAGCGTCCGCGCGCTTACGCAAAAGAGCGGCATGCTGCAACGGTGTTTCGTTCTTCCAGCGCGCGTACAGGCAGTAACGATTTTGATAAGGATAGCACTTGAGGATATTCCACAACTCCTCGGCTACGCAACAATTGCAGTCCATGAAAGAAAGCGAGGGCAGTAAAGCGACGTCAAGAATAGTCAATACGTCGTGATATAATCTGCTGTTCTTGTTCAACGGTTGGTTGTTTTCGTCCAGCGGTCTGAGGGCGGCGTTGCACAGCCTCATCACCTTATACATCAGAATAGGATCATGGTGCAGATTCGGTCCGAGAACAATCAGCATTGGCAGCAGGTGATCGTGAATGTCGTCCAAGTTTTGTATCGATGTTGGCGCGAGGGAGCTTTTTAAAGGAGGCACTTTACGGCCTGGTAATTTTGGAGAGATGATGCAGTGTCTGCAACGGAATAATATTGAAAAATATTGATTTGAGTATATGTTAAGGTTCTCCATAGAGACAAAATCTAACTTGAAGAGAGTTAGATTCTCATTGTTTGTATATATATGTGTATGTGAAACAAGTCAGATGCACGCGCCGAATTATCGTTCGATCTTTATAAACGTACCTTCCTTCTTCAATCTATTCTTTAATTCCCAATTAAATTCTTTTCTCACCCCCATATTAACTCTAATTATAGTGAACTAATTAATAAAATGAAATCAATCAATAATTGGTTGATATGGTAATCGGAAAAAAAGAATTTAATACCATCTTGATTGGGAATTAAAGGATAGTTTGGACAAGAAAAATAGGTTAACCGCCTAGTTTGAAATAAAAATCGAAGGATAATTCGATACGCGCTTGATTTGTTTGATTTATTTCAAACAACGAAATCCTTCCGTGAATTCTTCTATTTAACAATCGCACCAAAGAACCGCAATTAGACTCTTACTTTCTTCTTACTTATAATACTTTCTTTAACTTACAGTAATTCGTTCATGAGTTGTCGCAAGTACGAGTTGGAGAAACGAGTTACATTATAAATTATGCTTATAAATAACTCACTTATAAGCATAATAATTTATATTACTTTTAGTGCTCGTTCAAATGCCTGATTTTTTACGCGACTCTTACCTTCTTAAAATAAACTAAATAAGAAACAAATAACTTACTTTCTATACACGGGTTCGATAAGAGCCTGGATCATTTTACACAGTGCTAAAGCTATCGGACGTTGATCGGTGAGACAGTAGTCTGGTAAGCGGTTAAATAAGCTTTGAGCTACCTCCCAAGACCCGATTTCCAGGAGGGCTTCACATAGTCCAAACTTTTGATTGCTTGCATATTTTTCCTTTAAAGCAGAAGAGATATTAGTCCGTGTAATCATTTGTATGATAAAGTCAAACATGATGACTAAAACATAATTAACAAATTCAATTCAGTTAATTATATTAGAAATTTAAATGATGATAGTGATGATTATTCATAATTCAAGTATAGCATTTAGTTCCTACGACTACATGTTAAAACAGGAAATAATACAGCATATCAATTTATATTGAATAACAATAAATCTTGCGTAAAGGAAATAGTGCATTTCATTCAAGAATTGTTATATTCATGAAATAACAATTAACCGAACTCGAATTTGTAATTTAAAAGGATGAAATTAATTTTTGTTTACTACTTGTGAATTGTCCTTCTCTTCTGCAACCTCCTCCTTGTCTTTCGTCGAGATCACACTCATTTTCCGTACATATTCCTTAGCCTGTTTCATCGATTGTTCATGATCTGATATGATGGCTTTATCATCTGGCACTAGCCAGGGCAATATGTCGTCCAGTTTGATCACGCCGTGTTGTAGCATGAGCGCGGTGACCTTTTGTAGCGAGAACGGCGTTGCGTTCATGGTGGAGCAATACTTGAATCCTAATACCTCGCAGAGTACCTGCTGATCGCTCATGTATGAGCGTATTACGGGAATAAACAATGCATCGTCTTGTGGTCGATTTTCAAAGGTTTCTAGTAAGATGTCGAGTACTCTATTAGGGTCAAGATTAAAATATCCTGTAAGCACAACGGCATTTTGTATTTTGTTATGTTCTGTCAACATGGATATGCATCTTGCATATTAAACATATTGCATTCTTAAACATATTTTCATCTTGATCTTTTTATCTATATGATGCTTATGACTTAAAAATATTTTAGAAGACAAACAGTATTCTATAATAAAAAATATATCAGAAACAAAAATTCGTACCAATAAGAGATTTTACAATTTCCAGTGTCGAAGCTACCTCGTTGTCCTGACGTTCTTGATTTAATTCTACAATGAGCTTGGAATAACCCTCGCTCTCTTCGCGAAATAAATTGAATTTCCTTTGCTTATAACTGCAAAAAGACAGGTGAGTCTTAAGATATTTAATGCAAATAAGACAAATTAAGTTCTGCATATGTTGGTGGAGGTATACTCACTATAATTTCGTCTTCACTTTTATGAATTTGGTTTGAAAATTTTTGTTTTTTAATGTTCCTACATCTTGTAAAGTCTCAATTTCTAGACGTTCTTTCAATATTCTGTCTGTTAAAAACTGAGAAACAAAAGAAAAAACACAATAAATTAATAATAATATATGAGAGAATTCATTTTGCTCTGAACTAAAATATTGTCTATTTTATTTTGTCTATTTTAACAATATTTTAAATATTGTATATTTTAAGAACTATAGTCCTTGACAATATTTTTCTAATTTATTATTTTCAATAAAATTTTAAATATTTCTAAAATATGAGTTATAATATATAAACACATATAAGCATAAATATATATGTACCTTCTCACATTCTTTCACGATATAATAAAAGTTGTTCCTGTCCTCGTTGTATGCCTCCGCATCAAATAAGGTTAATATGTCTACTATTGTAGATGCTATTGCTCCATCCAAATTCTACAAATGAATTTTAAATATTTAATATTACCACAATTTTATTTAAGTTTAATAATTTTGCAAAACTTTAGACAATTGTAATTATGATCTTACCGTAAGTTCACCTAATGTCTGGACTACATTGTCCTTTTTTATGTTCCCATGGATTCCATTTGATATTAATTCGTACAATCCACGTCTCCATTCTGTAAAGACAACAAGATATAAATCTTTTAGTATCACTTAAAAAAATTATTTAAAGCATATAAAATGAAATAATGCAATATAAATGAGATAGTATATGCAAAAAAGCAATGATATTATAAAAATTGATATAAATTTTAAAAAATAGAGAAATAAGTAACTTATAAATTTCTTTTTTTTTTTGCAAATTTCATTAAAAAAAGAAACAGAATTTAATATTATACTATTATCTCAAGATCGATATATAAAATTTGTTGAAATTATATTCAATATATATGTAAAAGCTTATTTACATGTATAAAAAAAAGAAATGTATGAAAATTAAATATGAAGAAAGTGGCAAAACTAAATCTGAAAAGGACAATTTACATTGAAGTTAAAAATATTTTTAGTAGTCTTGCAAATAGATATTGTTGATGTATATAAATACAAATAAACAGAAAAATAAAGAAAAAATCGATTGTTTTATTGTAAGAGACTAAAATACATAAAATTTCACTATACAAATAACACAATGTAACATGGAACACAAGTAGCATATGCATATGTTAAAGAGCAGTGATACAAAGGAAATTGCCTGCTTGCAGAGCAATGGTGCAGACCGCCAAGCAAGCTAGATGCGAGACTATATAGTCACGGTGTATTACCTGGTGTGTTGCCTTCCTTAAATTTGTGCTTGATTAGCTTGAGGCTGCAAACAGTCGTGAATTCACAAATTAAGTCTTCAGAAGAGCGAGCTAACAGGAGTAGATAAGTGTTTTCGCGACCAGCAATGCACCGTGTCGATCAGCGTCGACCAGGCGACGCGCTAACAACACCACTTACAAATCATTTCTTCCATGCTTATCCCAAGACTTCCACAATTCTGTGTGCCATACTTTGCTGGCCATATTTAGCGCTCTAATCTGTTTTAAAAAGGTACTGCGAGCGTGATCGGGATTAAAAATCAACTCAACATCGCAGGTTAACGAGCACAGACGAATACGTCTCTCTCTCCCACTCGCCACCGCGAAGGAAGTAGTAAGCGCGTCCTCGAAGTAATCGCACGCGATATTTCGAGAACTCGACAAACCTGACGCATTCGTATCGCATCGCAAAATCTCAGTGCGTTTAGGAACATAATAGTGTTAGCTACTTGCCTGTGATTGGTGGACAATTGTAAATCTACCAATAGGAAACAATTGGAATGCGATGAAAATGCATTTGCTACGCCTTTAAGCCCTCTGTTTGAACTTTTTAGAAATTGTGGCCCATATTCTGAATCCTCTTTTATCTATAAAAGTGCCTCTAAAAGAGGCTTAGGAGCCACCTGATTGGCTGAGAAGCTACATTTAAGGCATTTTTATCGATAAAAGAAGATTCAAAATATGGGTCTATAATTGCGTTCCGAAATTCATTGCCAGTACTGAAATTCTATGGTATACGCGACATGGCTGAGAAGCTACATTTAAGGCATTTTTATCGATAAAAGAAGATTCAAAATATGGGTCTATAATTGCGTTCCGAAATTCATTGCCAGTACTGAAATTCTATGGTATACGCGACATGAATTATAGATTTTCAGTACTTGCGGTGAATTTCGAAACGCAGCCTATATGTATGTCCTACAAATTTTATATTATTTATTTTTCAATCGTTCTTTTTTAATATGTTTATCTGCATCACATATTATTAAATACATTTATTAATATAAATTCCTTTCTACTTTCCTAATCTTATCTGGCCAGAAGTCTGATGAAATCTTATTGACTCCTGTACACAGGACGCGGTAATACTTGCCGCGCGGCGAAAGTTCGCGCGACAGCCAATCAATATGCTGCTTTCCGTAATAACCTTCTAGCTCTTACGAAAAAACAACATATTGATTGGCTGTCGCGCGGCGGAAGTTCGCACGACAGCCAATTAATATGCTGCTTTCCGTAATAACCTTCTTGCTCTTACGGAAAAACAACACATTGGGTGCTTTCCAGTTGCGTACACTGTGTTACATAAAACCAGCTTATTGGTTGCATATTATCTTACAAGATATTTTAGATAATGGCTGCGTTCCGAAATGCACTGCCAGTACTGAAAATCTATAATTCATATTACGTGTATTATAGAATTTTAATACTGGCAGTGAATTTCGCAGCCAATATGTGACCAATAAACTGGTTTTGTGGTTTTGTGTCAAGATGTGTTAAGCAATTAATGACGTCATAAGTCTCTACTAGCCAATCATAAAGTTTATAAGTATTTGTTCGATCAATAAACGTAGGCTGAATAACCAGAGTGAGTTAACCCAGAGCCAGTCAAACATGCTATCAGACTACAATCTTTCAGCAGCTGCTTGGATGCTAAAAGTTGCAAGCAATTGCACGATTTTGCTTGCAACTTAAATTAAAGAACGGTCAAGATGTACGCAGTCTGCAGCTTGATGTGCGCAACTGGATATACAAAACAATTAAATTATGCATCGGATGCATCGGGTTGTATCTGTTGCGAATAAAAGAACGCACCTATAGGCTGCGTTCCGAAATTCACTGCCAGTACTGAATATCCATAGTTCATGTTACATATACTATAGAATTTTAGCACTGGTAGTGAATTTCGGAACGCAGCCATAAGCGTTGTATATATCGATGGATTCATTGTTCTGTGGCGCCGTCTAATTCTTTCTCTCATAGCCGTATATCGGAGAGGTAACATTAGTATTCTGTACATCGTAATCCTCGAACATCCTGCGATATATTTTGCACGAGTAATTGGTTTCAGTAAAATTTTGCTTAGCAAGTTTTTCTCTCGCGAGTTAATATCAAAGTAATCGTTATACTTAGCTTTCTTTGTTGTTAATCGTCGCTGAACAAGTCACGAGTGTATTTGTTGTCGCTTGCCATTCGACAAACTCGCTTGACGCATTTACCTATCTGTGAGAGATAATTATAATAAAATTAAACAAGTTAATTTTTGATGTAACGTGAAATAAATACTATTTTTTCTACATTGCTGAAAACTGTTTTAACGTAAAATCTTTTTACTTGCTATCAAGAGATATAGTTATGTAAATAATGTGCACATATATATATATTTTTATAACTTTTTAATTTTTTTTAGCTAAGTAAAAATGGCCAAGTCTTCTGAGAAGAAAGGCAAGAGTGCCATCAACGAGGTGGTTACTCGTGAATATACCGTCAATTTGCATAAGCGACTTCATGGTGTAGGATTTAAGAAACGTGCTCCACGAGCAATCAAAGAAATAAGAAAATTCGCAGAAAAACAGATGGGAACTCCTGATGTTAGGATAGACACACGTCTCAACAAACAATTGTGGTCCAAAGGCATTAGGTAACTTTTTAATGAAATAAATCCAAAGGATTTGCATGTTCAAGTATTTTTAGGTTAGAACTTACTATATAATTACTTTTTATTTAGAAGATTTGTTCCTTATAGCAATACTAAATTCTACTGTACTTAAAATAAACTTATATTTGGCATTTTGTAAAAAAGAAAAAAAATAGGTTATAATACAGTTCTGAATGTATAATTTTGAAGAAAAGATTTATAGTGTACTAATTTATATAGAAGTACCACATAACTATGTTCATAATTATTATCTTGTTTTAGTTATTATTAAATTATATATATAATCTTTTCACTATTATAAATTACTATTTACTATTATATACCAACTACTGTAATTTCTGTTAAATAATCATTTAGAAAATATCACTATAGCGGTTTTTTTAATCTTGCATTGAAAACATATGGATAGTTTTGTTATTGTCAAGTAGCAATTTTTACATATTTTCATGAAATTTTTTTCTTAAATTTATTATTGTTTTATGCTAATAAAATATATTTGCTACTCTATTAGTATAGAGCAGCAGATTCTTATTTTTATAATCATTCCTTGCTCTTTTTCTTCTGTTGTGTTTTGCATAAAAACATTCATCTTTTATTAAGTATAGTTATGTCTAAGAATGCTTAACTTTCTAAATTAGTTTAGTTTTACTTATAGTGTGTACAGAAGTTATTCAACCTATGTGTTATGACAAACTATTATTCCGTGTATGGGGAAAGTACTTTACATTTAGCTCAGCTGTAGCAAATATATAG